TGTACGCAGCGTACACAGTCACACAAAACACCGAAATCCTGAAACAGGACGTCTAAAATCAAGCAAACTTGGCTGATTTCCGGGCTATGAAACATGAAAATTTGAGCTGTATGCAAGTCGCGGCTTGACTGACCTCATCAAGGTGACGTAGTGCACGAACTGCGCTGTTTCAGATCTGATATGCACAGTTGCACACTCTGGTTTATGTACTCTTGGTACAGTCTATAAAACAGGTACTTCACTAGTCCACTCCAGGCATGTTCGTTTCATCAAAACACTGCTTACATTCGACGTATTTTTCTTTACGAACAATCAACTTCATGTATTTTTCTTTCTGTTCTTACCGTACGACGAAGTTTTCAGTATGTATCGGCAGTGTTCCACATGATTTCAATAATAAGTTATGGACATTGCTTCGATGGAAACTCGCGGAAGAAAAGCGAAGCCCCGCGTCCTTGAGTCGCGGCCGGAGCAGCGCTCCGTTCTGAAGCAGCGCTAGTGGATCATGGACGCACATTTTTACGTCTTCCAGTCGACAACGTTTTTGACGAACATATCTGCTGCGCACATGAGCGAGAACGAAAGGCTGTGGAGATCTTGATTTGAGTCAACAGTTTGGAAGGAGATATCGTCAATCATATCCTTGAACTGACTTGCATCGCGCGTGCTTGACTCAAATTTCGAGACAAAACGGATTTCTTCAACGCCATCACCAATCCAGGAGCGGACCAGAGCTAGAGATCGATCTCTCGGTGGCTACTCTCCACTGAAGAAAGAGAGAACAATGTATTTCGAACTGCATGCAAAGCGACTCTCTCTCTCTCTCACTTCGAAAGAAGGACATACTATGATAGTCACTGTACTGTAAACTGTCCGTCGATCGACGCGTATGCACGATAACCAATCCAGTAGGCACGTTTTTCCTTTGGCAAGATTGCCCGAAAAAGGTGGTTTCCAGACACCAAAAAACTCATACGGTGCACGCGCCTGACTACCTCCAGTATCCGACCACTGCCCTGTGGTTGTAGATTTTCAGTATAACTCGAAACAGAAGCACGTAGCGAGCCCTAGGTCCTCGGCGTTGATATACGATTATTCAAAGGTGGACTGGAATGAACTCAATCATGCCATTGCCAATCTAAACCTACTCAGATCAGTCACAACATCGACTAGTATCGAAGAGGCTTGGTTAAAGTGGTCTCACAAAGTTGAAGAAGTGGTAAAGCAGTATGTACCGCAGAGACAAGCCCTCCATCCTCGCAACAACCGCCATTGGTTCTGTGCAAAACACCACCGTCTCCGTCGACACCGTGACCGCCTTTTTACTACAGCTAAACGATCCGGGAGAGCAACGGACTGGGTAGTCTACCGCCTTGCAAGGAATGCGTTCACTGCCGAAATTCGCAAAGCGAAGCGACGTTTTTACGCTAACATGTCGGCCAGTCTTGAGGAAAACCGTGGCGGACACAAGTGGTGGCAGAGAGCCAAACAACTATGCAATCTTACTAAGCCTCGGGCTCCGATTCCTGATCTGTCAGATGGAATTTTGACGGCTACAAGTGATCTAGAGAAGGCTGACTTGCTAGCTCGCCTATTCTCTCAGTATTCTTCACCCCCTTCTAAGCCCCCGGACTGCACACAGCTACCCACAGTCACGGTTGTCGAGCCCTTCGAATTTCAGCAATTGAGTACCACTAGTGTTCTTTGGACCCTATCACACCTTCCCCGGTACAAACGCACGTCTGGACCCCTCCCTAATCGAATCCTTCGAGAAACAGCTCCCAGTATTTCTGATTCACTAACAGCTATATTTAACCTCAGTATCACCTCTGGCATGGTTCCATCAGATTGGAAAACCTCTATTGTTATCCCAGTATACAAAGGTTCAGGAAGCAAAGGCAGTCCTGGCTCTTATCGCCCCATTTCCCTGCTCCACGGAGTTGCGAAGGTGTTCGAAAGCATGATGAGCAAGAAACTGACTACATTTGTGGAGGCCAATACCCTCCTCCGTACGCACCAGTTCGGGTTTCGCCGGCAGCGGTCTACCACTGACCAACTAGTCCAAATGACGTCCTCAATAAGAAGAGCCTTTGACAGCAAAGCTTTGTGCGACGGACTCTACCTGGACTTATCAAAGGCATTCGATAAAGCCAGCCATTCTGTCCTGTTGCATCTTCTCTCCTCATTCTGCTCATCATCTTCAGTCAAATGGCTCGGATCCTTTGTCTGTGGACGCTCTATTTATGTTCAAATTGGTGATCAAGTTTCATCCCTACATCCCTTGGGGGCAGGAGTGCCGCAGGGTTCTCATCTAGGCCCACTCCTATTTAACATTCTGATCGACAGTATCCAAACAGTGACTACCAACACGTTGAGCCTTTTTGCGGATGACTCCAACATTCTGTGCATTTCCCCACCGACTACCACAATTACGGCTCACTTGTCTCAGATTGAGACTGATCTAGCAGCGTGTATCTCATGGGCTGAACATTCTGGATCAAGTTTTAACGTAAGTAAGTGCGCCCATATTGTATTCCACTCAGGCAGGACCACGGCAGCATAGCGAACTGTTCAGATGAATGAAGCTAGCCTATGTCGACCTGAGGCTCATCGCCATCTTGGAGTCATATTAACCCCCTCCCTAGATTTCCGTGAGCACATTCGTTCCATTATCTCTAAATTTCGTAGCAGAGTGTTCTTGCTTAGTCGTATGGCTCTTTTCTTTCCTCCATCGATCATTTCTATCTTGTATAAGTCATACGTTCGCCCTACCCTAGAGTACTCTATCCCCGTCTGGTTTTCCTCTCTGACGGTCCAAGACCAGGATAGTATGAGTAGGCTCCAAGCATCTGCAGCCAGAGGATATCTTGCCGCTAAACTAGGGAGGAAGCCAGATTGGATGACTCCAAAAGAAAATCTTAACCAGCGTGCAGGCTGGGAAGCTCTAAAATGGCGATTACAGATCCTTTCATTATGCTATTTTCACCACATTGTCTACACCTTTCCTTCTGTTCTCTTTGATTTCAAATTTCGATTTTCATCATCCTCCCGACACCCCAAGTCTCTTGTCCTTCCACCAACTGGCAATTACTTCGCTAAATCCTTCCTTTTCCTTATCGCTGTTGCTTGGAATAAACTGCCTGCTGATATACGTTCACTCGATAGTCCCACGCTATTTAATCGCCAGGTAAGGAAGCTGTATGAAGTTAACCGCTTCTCAGTTTCCGGCATACCTAGTTTCACGTGTTGAACAATATAGTCTAAATCCGCTACTGCAGTTATTTTGTTTTAGTGCCTTTCCAGTGTTCTATTAGCACCCCCGGTTCTCAATCTATTGTTCTTCCTCTCATTTGACTTAGAGAATCTCAGATTTTGAGTTTTTTGCGCTCCATACATAATTTTATTTTCATTATTTTATTGGTTTGGTGAGACTCCCATGATAGGTATCCATTTACCTCTGGAGAATCCGTAAATAAACAAAACAAACAAATAAGTGCAACAAAATGCCAAAGTATCACCAATAGTGCATAAGTATCACCAAGAGTGTATCACAGATCTCGACGAATATAATGTCTAGGGCCGATGCATGCTAGAGAACAATTTAGAACAGAAAAAACAGCACTTCATCTGTAAACGTTTTTTCACGGTCAAAGTGGGACAAGACACTCGCCGCAGATTTGTTGGAAACTTGTACGACAACACCGTCCACACGAGACGATTTTCGTGCCGATCTTGACTCCCTGTCGTACAACTCCATGTCTATGAGCACGCATGGCAGAGAGTCAAGCAGGACAGAGTGGGCTAAGGTTTGGCGAACTGCAATAAGCACGCTCTCCACAAAATGTTGTTGCATTGTCGTGGGTGTGTGTTGTGTGTGTGTGTGTGTGTGTGTGTGTGTGTCCTTTACGTCTTGTTTGTGGATCTCCAGAAGGCGTATGACTTCCCCCCCCCCCCCGCACAGTGCTCGGGAGTGTGCTGGATAGGCAGGGTGTTCCGCCGGTTATGTTGGGCCTCATAAAGTCCCTTCATGAGGGTATGATTGCGAAGGTGCGAGTCAACGGTAAGCTTTCCGACAACATCTCGGTAACTAGTAGTGGACTGCGTCAAGGATGTACCCTATGCTAGCACCCATGGCCCACCCTCTTCAACCTGTACTTCAGTGTAGTGGTTGCGGATTGGCGTGCACGTTGTCCAGACGCTGGAGTTGACCTACTACTAGTATTCAGAAACGGTCGCAAGCCGGTTGGGGACCGCACAGCGAAATCCCGGTTATCCACGACGAGAGTGACGGAGTCCCAGTTCGCCGATGATGCAGCGTTGTATGCAACCACCAGAGAGGGATTCGAGTGCATGACATCCGAGTTCATCTTGTGCGCACATGATGGGGACTGACCGTGGGCATTAGAAAGACGACGGGCATGGCGGTGGGTCAACCAGCATCAGTTGATCCCGTTCAACTCGAGGGTGACAGCAGGATTGACACGGTGGACGGCTTCCGGTACCTTGTCAGCGTGCTCTCTGCTTACGGAACGGTGGATGCGGACCTTGCTGCTCGCTTGGCGCAGGCGTCCCGGCAGATCCGCGTGCTCAGGTCTCCAATATTTCAGTGCGTACATCTCTCGGTCCACACCAAGCGGCTGGTGTGCTGTGCTGTTGTCCTTCCTGCTCTCCTCTACGGCTCAGAGACATGGCCCATCAAGGTGGGTCATATTCGCCGACTCCACACCTTTCACCATCAGTGTATTCGCACAATTCTCGGTATCTCTCGTCGTGAGCAATAGGAGGAGAGACTGTCGTCGGCCTCGCTGAGTGAGCTGGCAGGGGTGGACGTCGATATGACTGACGTGATCAGGACGCACCGCTTGCGGTAGCTTGGTCATGTTGCGCGGATGAGGGAGACCCGACTGCCCAAGCAGATGCTGTTCGGTGAACTGCCCTGCAAACGCCCGCAACATGGTCCCAAAAAGCGCTGGCGGGATGTTGTGTAAAAAAAACGACTTAGCCAGCAGGAACAACTTTTGACCCTGCTGGCAGCTTGGTTTTTGTCCTACCTTTTTTCCCAAGCTGATGAGCTTAGTGGCCCCATCAGTGCAGGGCAAGCGACTGGGAAGGCCAGGAGCGCAGTTTTTGATAAATGACTTCTATAACAGCCGGCTCATGCTGACCCGGCTGCCCGCTTGGCTCGGCTGCGGCCTAAAAACCCGGCCGCAGAATGCTTGGCTCTAGGCGGCGCTGGCCTCTTGGTATCAGCGCCTCGCGTCGGGCCCGGCGTGCCACACGCCGCCGGCGCCCTTGGACTTTCTGAGAGAAAGCGGTGGTACGACACGCTTGGGTCGACCGTATCGGCGCCAACCGCGCCTCGCGTCGGGTCGTTGTTGATTCCTCGCCTCACGACCCTTGGACTTTCTGAGGGAGGGAGGCGGTGCGTCATGCTTGGGTCGCTTATATCGGCGCCAACCGCGCCTCGCTCCGGGCCTTGTGGTCTCCTCGTCCCAGGCCCTTGGACTTTCTGAAAGAAAGCGGTGGTACGACAAGCTTGGGTCGCTCATATCGGCGCCAACCGCGCCTCGCGTCGGGTCGTTGTTGATTCCTCGTCCCACGACCCTTGGACTTTGTGAGGGGAGTGGGCGGTGCGTCAAGCTTGGTTCTTCATGTATCGGCGCCAACCGCGCCTCGGCTTCGGGCCTTGTGGTCTCCTCGTCCCAGGCCCTTGGACTTTCTGAGGAAAGCCGGCGGTGCGTCACGCTTGGATCTTACTATATCGGCGCCAACCGCGCCTCGGCTTCGGGCCTTGTGGTCTCCTCGTCCCAGGCCCTTGGACTTTTTGAGGTAAGACGGCGGTGCGACAAGCTTGGGTCGCTCATATCGGCGCCAACCGCGCCTCGGCTTCGGGCCTTGTGGTTTCCCCGTCCCAGGCCCTTGGACTTTCCGAAGGAAAGCGGTTGGTATAGAACGCTTGGGTCGCTCGTATCGGCGCCAACCGCGCCTCGCCCGGGCCGTTGTGGATTGCTCTTTCCACGGCCCTTTATTACCTGCGTGTCGTTGTTTGGTCCGGCACGCTGGTAGGGTAGCTTGGTTCTACAGGCTGGGTTTGTCGTTCCTTGGCTCTACAGGCTAGGCCCAAGGTAGCTTGGTTCTACAGGCTTGGCTTAGGTCCATGTTTTCTAACTTTTGTTCTTAGAGCCTGCTGTTCGAGGTCCAGGTTTTCTCACCTTTGTAGCCTGCTGCCGCCCTTGAGTACTGTTGGCGTAGGTCCAGGTTTTCTAACTTACGGCCTTAGAGCCTGCTGTAACCACCTGGTGCCCTGGCTGCCGGCTTTGTAGCCTGCTGCCGCCTTTGAGTACTGTTGGCGTAGGTCTTAGAGCCTGCTGTAACCACCTGGTGCCCTGGCTGCCGGCTTTGTAGCCTCCTCTGTTCTAGGTCCATGTTTTCCAGCCTTCGTTCTTAAAGCCTGCTGCCGCCTTTGCAGCCTGCTACCTTAGGTCCAGGTTTTCCAGCCTTCGGTCTTAAAGCCTACCGGCTATGGAGTCCCTAGTAACAAGGGTGACCGGGCCTCGCCCGGGCCGTGATTGCACGGCCCTATAATTTTCCTCGCCCTTCGTCTTGGGCCCGGGGCGGGGTTACTTGGCAGTCCTCTACACTGTTCTAGGTCCAGGTTTTCTAGCCTGCTCTGACTGCCTGCTCTGATTGACACCTTTGGCGGCTGTTGCCCTAGGTCCAGGTTTTCTAGCCTGTTCTGACTGCCTTTGTAGCCTGCTTTGAGTACTCCGCCCTGTCTGCCCGCTGAGAGAAGCCATATTGGCTTTCCTCGTCGTTGAACCTCTCCCGCTAGGAGAAGCCTGAAGGCTTTCCCCGCCTATTACTGCCTTAGGTCCATGTTTTCTTAACTCTCTGACTGCTTTTGTCCCCTCCTACCGTGAAGGTCGCTGGCTGCCGGCTTTGTAACCTGCTTGGACTACTCCGCCCCTGCTCTGTTCTAGGTCCAGGTTTTCTACTCTGTTCTTAGAGCCTACTACTGGGGGCCTTAACTTGTCTTCCTTTTGTTCTCACGCACTCTGGGAGAGGTCTGCCCTATAAGCGGATCCGCCAAGCTGCTTTTTCTGCTTCCGGCTTTGGGGCCCTTTTCAGTTGTTCTTACCCCTTGGCTGTGGCTAGCGAGGGTGGTTTTTCGTCTTCTCCGGCAGCTCTGGGGTCTTTGGCTGTGGCTTCTGGCACCCCGGTAGTACGTTTGACTGGTTGGCTTCTGCGGCTGCAGTGGGCTACTATTCCTCTCTGGCGTATCCACCCCTTTGGAGGGTGAATTCATAGGTGCTGGTGGCAGGCCCTTCTCCTTTTGACTCTGGTTGTCTTCAGAGCTAAGCTTCTCTCTGGCATACCTGCCCCTCTTTGGGCTGTTAATCTGTGGGACCCTCTTCTCAGCCTAGCACTGTTGGGCTTTCACCCCTTTTTCTAGCGTCTTTGGCAACCCTTCTCTCGCCGGTTTCCTTCTTTTTGGGTCTCCACCTCTTTTCCTAGTGTCTTTGGCAACTATTCTCTCTCTTTCTACTGTTGGCTGAGCCCTTTACTCTTTGCCTTCTCTGAGGGCCTTTGAAGCTGGCGGGGGCTGCCCATCTGTGGGGCTCCTTCGACTAACCCTTCTCTGTGGGGCTAGCAGTAGTGGCTGGGGACGGTACTACCCTTGGTTGGGTGAGAGGGCATGGGCTTACTTCTTCTACTCTGTCTTCCTGCAGCCCTGAGGTTAGTGGCGGATAACCAGAGACAAGCTCGCTCTCCCTATCACACTTAGTTGAGCTCCTAGGCTGGTTGGGCCTTTGATTGGGGGCATTTTCGCCTGTTGGGCGGGCAGGGTTAGAGGCAGTGGATGCAAAGCGTCTTGTAGTCAGCTTGGCTTGAACCTGTCTGCCCCTTGAAGAGACGTTACTTGGGCCTCTTCCTCTGGTCTTCCTGCAGCCCTGAGAACTTCCTTGATGTGCTTTCCTACGGGGGTGTCAACCCAACAGTGTTAGGCTGAGAGCAAGGTTATACGCTTTGCATCCACTGCTTCTAGAGACAAGCTCACTCTCTCTATCTACTCAACCAGGCTACAGGTGGAAAGCCACGAGACGCTTTGCATCCACTGCCCCTAGAGACAAGCTCACTCTCCCTATCTACTCATCTCAAGCCAGCGACCTTGCCGGCAGGCCCTAAAACCGAAGGCTAGAAAACCTGGACCTAGAGCAGAGTAGGCAGCGACCTTGCCGGCAGGCTACAAAGGCTAGAAAACATGGACCTAAGGCCGTCAGAGAGTTAAGACCACTCAAGGGCACCAGCTGGTTAGAAAACCTGGACCTAGAACAGAGCAGGCAGCAACCTTGCCGGCAGGCTACAAAGGTTAGAAAACCTGGACCTAAGGCAGTCAGAGAGTTAAGGCCACTGAAGGGCACCAGCTGGTTAGAAAACCTGGACCTAGTACAGCAGGCTACAAAGGCGGCAGCAGGCCCTAAGAACGCAGGCTAGAAAACCTGGACCTAGAACAGCAGGCTACAAAGGCGGCAGCAGGCCCTAAGAAAGCAGGTTAGAAAACATGGACCTAAGCCTGTTGAACCAAGGAACGACAAGCCCAGCCTATAGAGCCAAGCTACCTTGAACCAAGGAACGACAAGCCCAGCCTATAGAGCCAAGCTACCGTACCAGCGGGCCGGACCAGACAACGACCCGCAGGTAATATAGGGCCGTGGGAAGAACAATCCACAACGGCCCGGGCGAGGCGCGGTTGGCGCCGATACGGTCGACCCAAGCGTGTCGCACCGCCGCCTAACCTCAGAAAGTCCAAGGGCCTGGGACGAGGAGACCACAAGGCCCGAAGCCGAGGCGCGGTTGGCGCCGATACAGTCGACCCAAACATGTCGCACCGCCCAGTCCCTTCAGAAAGTCCAAGGGCCTGGGACGAGGAGACCACAAGGCCCGAAGCCGAGGCGCGGTTGGCGCCGATATAGTAAGACCCAAGCGTGTCGCACCGCCGCCTAACCTCAGAAAGTCCAAGGGCCTGGGACGAGGAGACCACAAGGCCCGAAGCCGAGGCGCGGTTGGCGCCGATACATAAGGACCCAAGTGTGACGCACCGCCTCCCTCCCTCAGAAAGTCCAAGGGTCGTGAGGCGAGGAATCCACAACGACCCGACGCGAGGCGCGGTTGGCGCCGATACGGTCGACCCAAGCTTGTCGTACCACCGCTTTCTTTCAGAAAGTCCAAGGGTCGTGAGGCGAGGAAACAACAACGACCCGACGCGAGGCGCGGTTGGCGCCGATATGAGCGACCCAAGTTTGTCGCACCGCCTCCCTCCCTAAGAAAGTCCAAGGGTCGTGAGGCGAGGAATCAACAACGACCCGGAGCGAGGCGCGGTTGGCGCCGATATGAGCGACCCAAGCTTGTCGCACCGCCTTCTTACCTTAGAAAGTCCAAGGGCGCCGGCGGCGTGTGGTACGCCGGGCCCGACGCGAGGCGCTGATACCAAGAGGCCAGCGCCGATAAGAACCAAGCATCTGCGGCCGGGTTTTTAGGCCGCAGCCAGGCCCAGTATATAAAACTTCGTCGGCGGCAGCCCCGCCTCCTAGCCCTGCAGGGAGACTCGCTCATCTGTCTCTTGGGCCCCTCTAGGGGCCCCATCGCCAGAGAGCTCTCTTCCCTTTGGGAAAAAACTGCGCTCCTGGCCTTCCCAGTCGCTTGCCCTGCACTGATGGGGACACTAAGCTCATCAGTTTGGGAAAAAAAGCCCGCCTACAGCCGGGTTATAGGCCCTCCCGGCTGTAGTTAACCTAACAAGCTGAGTGCTAATTTTTTTTTTTTTTTACTGTCATCGGTTTACCTGAAGCGGACTGGTATGACACAGCGCAGGAGAGATCCACCTGGTTTCAGTGTTGTCGACAGAGGATCGAGAAGGAAGCCCCAGGCATCCCGTGCCCCAACTACCGCTGTGACAGAGTGTTCCATCGTCCTGGTGATCTCAAGCGGCATACAGCGGGTTTAGAGCCTCAGCGTGAGGAAGCCATCGCTATCATTGCTACGGCAATAGGCGTTCAAGGTTCTAGGTTCAAGGTGTGTGTCTTCGACAGTTTGAATTTGTTTAGCTCCGTAGTTTCTGGTAGTTTGTGGCACTTTCTAGCCGTCCTGGACGGCTTGGGGTGGCCTAAGCCGCTAATTTTACCCCAGCCGTCCAGGCGAGTGTACTGAGGTAGAGGACTCAACAGGAGACTTGGTCGGATACTTTCTGATGCCGACACTCTACTCGCTGTTCCTCTAAATTTTCTCAGACGCCCCCGCGAGGTGTTGCGAACAAGCGGGTGGTGACAACTACCACACAAGGACGACGGCGGGGGGAACATGACATTGTTTTGAGTATTGGTAGGTGGAACGTCCGCAGCCTGGTGGAAAGCGACGGCCTATTGATACAGCAGCTGTTGGAGGAAATGTTTCTGACGAGCGAAAAATTGTTCGTATTGTTCGTCACCTTGCCCGCCTGGACATGGACGTTCTGGCAGTACAGGAAACTCACTGGTTTGGATGCGAGAAATTACAAGTGGAGGGAACCAAGGTACTAACGTCAGGACGACCTGTTCTAGCTGAGGGGCAGTCATGTCGACGAGGTGAGGGTGTCTCTTTCGTACTGTGTGGACGAGCTTCGAAGTCCTGGCGCACACAGAGAGACACAGAAAATGAGACAGAGACAGACAGAGTGACAGACAGAGAGACAGAGAAACACAGAGAGGTAAACAGAGAAACATACAAACAGAAACAGAGACAAAGACAAATAAGGAGAGATAAACAGAGAGACAGACAGACAGAAACAGAGACAGAGACAAAGACAAATAAAGAGAGATAGACAGACAGACAGACAGACAGACAGACAGACAGACAGACAGACAGACAGACAGACAGACAGACAGACAGACAGACAGACAGACAGGCAGACAGACAAGCAGATCTACGGACAGACAGACTGATAGACAGACCGACGGACAGAGATGCAGAGAGAACCGTCGGAAAGAGACACACAGAGACAGAGGCAGAAAGAGAAACAGACAGACAGAGACAGAGGTACGAAGAGAAAGACAGGGACAGGGAGAGACGAAGGGAGACAGGGAGACAGATGCAGAGACAGACGACAGGCAGACGGACTGACAGACAGACAGACAGAAATCAAACATGGGCTTCATTTTCCAAACAATGACCACCAGCCAGGTCCAACTAGAAAATCCACAACGACATAGACTACTAGCTGAGCCGCACAACAGGAGAAAGACTTGATGCATATGAAACTGACGAAAGGTTCGGCACTATCAAATCTTGCTCCTGTTGGCTAGTAGCTACTGTTGTACGTTTTTAAGTTTTTAAGCCGGACCTTTGCCGCTTTAGGAGCTGCATCTGCGCCTTGATCCTTGAAGGGTGGTGGCGTTCCTACGGATGCGGAAAACTCGGCCTCTATAGATAAACCGAGTCTGACGCGAACCGGGAAAAACTTTTTTCTGCCGGAGTGTCCTCGTTCGGAGATTACTAGTAAGCTTTTGGTACACAGACAGATGACAAGAGAGAGAGAGAGAGAGAGAGAGAGAGAGAGAGAGAGAGAGAGAGAGAGAGAGAGAGAGAGAGAGAGAGAGAGAGAGAGAGAGAGAGAGAGAGAGAGAGAGAGAGAGA